AGAATTTCCAAAAGTGTCCAAAGGTTCACATATTATAGTCCATGGCCTTAATAAACAAAAATATTCTGATTCCTACATTTGAAAGTAAGTTCAAAGAATGTTTATGAGCTAAAGAACTTCTTGAACTTCTATTAAAGAGACTAATTTTGGGAAGTAGGACAGAATATTCAGGTAGAGTCTTTATAAAGTTTTTCCAATTATATTTGGACAGCAAAATAAAATAACCCAAGTGTTTCTGTTTACATATTGTTTTCAGAATGGATGAGAAAGAAGCTGCAATGAGATTTTTGTTTTTCAAAAGAGGGATAAGTTTAAAAAGTTTGAAACATTTCTTTAGAAAAATAAAGAAAAATTATGCCTATCAGATATTACAAATTAATTTTTTCAAAATAAGTATGAAATTAAAATCCCACTTCAGCAGAATTTCAGTAGATTAATGAGGCACCATTTAAAAAGAGCAGTTCCATCTAATAGTACATATGGTCAAGGTGTTACTTTCTTTTTTTTTTTTTTGGTACTGGGGGTTGAATCCAGTGGAGGGCTTTACTATTGAGTTACACCCAGGTGTAACAGGTGTCCAGTTGGCCTTCAACTTGTGATTCTCCTGCCTCAGCCTCCCAAGTAGCTGAGTTTACAGGTGTGCACCACTGCACCCAGCTAGGTATTTTGTTTTCTATAAAAATAATTCCACTTGTAGGCACTTTGTCCTCTTAAGAAAACACCTAAATGCTGTCCAATTTGCAGCAAGTGACTCAGGGAATAAATGTCTGTTATTATACTGAAGACACACTGCATTTTAATAACCCTTCCTTTGAAACATCCATCACCTCAAAATCTCTCCTAGAGGAAATCATAAGGAAGAGTGAACATTGAACATGATAGTTCCATGTTCCCACACTGTATGAATACTGGTTCCAAAATACTGTTAGGTATCTTCCATCTCAAAGAATGTTAAGTGACTAACATGCAAAAGGCCCTGGATTCCATCAACCCTTAGCACCAGGGAGCGGGGTGAAAGCCCTGCTGGGTTCACTTGATAACTAATGGCGAATCAAAGCAAGAACTCTGTATTCAATATAATTCAACTATAGGAGGTAACACATAGTAATAAAACTGAGAAGCCTAGAATTTTTCCCACCTTGTACAAGGATCAGAGGACCTCAATAAAAGTGGCACTCATGGTGAACATGGAAGTTGAAATATGTTATTTTTCAAAGGTTTCAAAAAATATTTTTAAATTTTCCAGTAGGAATCCACTTTTAAAAAATAACTTTTTACCACTATATTTTTTATGGTTATTCAAGTATTTCATGATCATGGCAGAAATTCTAGAAAATATATTAGATTTAAAAGGAATATAAAAATGTCACCATCTACCAATAATTCTGTTTTATTATCTTTCAGTTTTATTTTCCTAGGCACTGGAACATACATGTATCTACACAGGGTATTAATTTTAAACATTGATTTCCACTGAATGCATAGCATTGTGATCAGTGATTAGGCCCTGATTTATGTAACAATAAGTAAAGCAATTGGATGATTTAGGTTGGAAAGCTAATACAACTTTCCACCATACTGTGCTTGAACATGTCCATATTATTCAAATCTTTGTAAAACATGGTTAAGGTACAAAGTTAGGCAAAAGGAGGTGGAGGATAGGAAAAAAAGTGAAGAAAAACACTTCAACAAAATTTACCTTTAGGTAGTAGAGTTACATGTAATTTAGGGATTTTACTGTACTTGCTGAACTTACTCAAATGTTCTCTGATGAATGGAGAACCAGAAAACAATGTAGCCATTTACTAAAAAGAAGATCCATATTACATAAATAAAATATTAAAATTCAATAATTTTGGGAAAGGTGTATTTTTTATGTTGTCAGTGGGCCTTTATTTTATTTATATCAGTGCTAAGAATTGAACCCAGTTCCACACACATGCCAGGCAAGTGCTCTACCACTAAGCCACAACCCCAGCCTGCTAGAAAGGTGTATTTTAAGTGAAAACAAAAAGTAGGATTTAAGGATGTACATATATGTACTTAGAAAAAAGAGGTGGAGGGAAAGATTCTTTTATATGCATAAAACAAATTGGATAGGTCACAAAGGAAATTGCACAAAGGTTAGTTACCTCTGGCATGAAGATGAAGAGTTGGATATATAATAGGATCATGACCACATAGAACCCAGTGCCTCACACGTGCTAGGGAAGCACTCTGCCACTGAACCACAACCCTAGCCCTCCCTAAAGATTTTTGAAGCAGAACCTAAAAGTAGATACTGAAAATGGAAAAAGGGGAAAGTTTATTCTATCAATTATAGGAATTCATGAAATAACAACAATAAAACAGCAGTGGATTTGGGTGTTTTATACTACAATAATTTCAAACTTATCACATTATTTATTACTAATAAGGAAATGGCCAAGAAATTGGTTATCAAAGAAAACTGCAAATTAAATCAGTCTAGAACTCTTTGAACATAGGTGATTTTTAATCCCAGAATATCCTACCGTATCTACTTTGGTTTACAAGTTCAATAATTCACCAGTGGAATGTTAAAACTATATATTTAGGCAATAATAAATGCAAGGAAGACATTTTTATATGTTTAGATTTCACATAGTACTTTTCCCTCTGAAAACAAAGGTAAGGAATCCAATTACAGAATTAAGGGCAGACGGGGTTCTGAACTCAGAAGCATTTTTCTAAACTAGATGATCATTCATTACTATTTTTTATTTTTTGTGTTGCTAGAGATTGAACTCAGGGCCTCACACATGCTAAGCGAGTGCTCTGCCACTAAGCTGTACTCCCAGCCCTTTTAAAATGAGACAGGGTCTCCTTAAATTGTGTAGGCTGGCATTGACATTGAGATTCTCCTGCCTCAGGCTCCCAAACAGGGGGATTGTAGGCATGCAGCACCCATCTCCAACTCGATCATTATTATTTCAAAGCTTCCCTTTACTAAAACTCTATCTAAATAAGAATTATCTTTTACAACAATTTTTTTTTTTTTTTTTGGTACCAGGGATTAGGGACACTCAACCACCTAAGCCACATCCCCAGCACTTTTTATTTTATTTTTTTAAAATTCTGAGACAGGGTCTCTCTTTGTTGATGAGGCTTGCTTTGAACTTGTAGTTCTCCTGCCTCAGCCTCTGGAGCTGGGATTATAGGAGTATGCCACTGTGTCCTGCTATGTTTCACAACATTTATGTTCCAAATGCATATTGGTAACTAAGGTTGTCTGTAGTGTTTCCAAAAATTACAGTTATATATTAATAACACGTCTGCACCATTGAATATGTATGACAAAGATTTACTGAGCTGAACCTGTATGAAGAAAGTACACTTCAAGCTGTTTTCCATTGGAATTATATCATTTACGGAAGCCATTAAATTGGAGTCCTTTTGATGTGTATGTCTTTCAGAGTATTTTCTACTCATTAACACTAATGTATCTTATTAAGTTTCCCTGAGTGTATATATTATAAAAATTTAACAAATCCCCCAGGATTTATGGTCACAATCAGCTACTGTGAGAATGAGCTGGTAACTGGATAACATACCCCAAAGTAGATAACTCAATTCAGACCAGATAATAGAAAAGCACTGTCACTAATTTTCATTTCATGTCTGGAAACTGACAGTTCTTCCATGTTCCCTATCAGTAGGCACCTGGGGTTTGGGTTAGGTGAAGGGAATAGGAAGGTAATATGATTTATTTATAGGTTCTCTATTCTTTCTGGAAAAAAAAATTACCTATTCCTACCAAGAATGTGACATCAAGATGGATTTTTTTTTAGTGAAATAAATGAACGGGAAACTGGACACAAAAATCCTAAAGATCAGAAAGGAGACCTCTCACAGTCCACCACTCAGAGATCTGGGTAATTTAGGAATGTTATCTCACCTAGAACACAGGACCTGGACCAGAAAATGAAGGTAGTACCAGGAAGTGCATTCTCTGAATGAAAATGCTCTTGCCTGAGATAAACGAACATGTTGTGACACTCTACTGCATCCCTAAATGGCGCTGCAGACTGGGATCACTCTGTTCACCGTTCACCATACTGCCACTCATACAGGTGTCACTGCACACAACCATTAATGCCACTTTAAAAGTCTCCCGGTTTCTGGTTCCAGGAGGAAAAAGCAGCGTCTTTTGCACAGCCAAGGTCGTTCACAGGTAGATGGTTTTCTTTGTTTGTTTTGCATCCTGATGTTGGAGGTTGCTTTCCTTTACTCACCCAGATTATTTGGAAAACATTCTTCCCCATTACATCTTTTACCACTGTGGATCTAAACCTTAATCTCCAAACACGTCCTCATCAGCCTTAGAAAAGAACGGAAGTTCCCCTCCAGGAAATATTGAAGGAGAGTGTTGAAAGAGTCAGGAATGACACAGGAAAGAAAAAAGCTCTGTCAAAAAATCAAGTAAATTTAAGCCCGTCAAAACTACTTGGTGGCATTTAATTTGCCCTCTCCTGTCTAGTTGGCCTTTCCGGACATACAGACAGCGCCGAGGTGAATCAACACCTGCCTTCGCATCCCTAGCTTCGACTGAGGGGTTTAGGATGCCTTTCTGGGAAACCTCAAAAGCTATCTTCATCACCCCTTCTGGAGACGTTGCTCTCAAGCCCTTCCAAACTTTGGAAGCTAAGAATGGAGGGGCGGAGGGCGCCAAGAAGGTCGTGCGCAGGAAGAGGAGCCAAGAGTGACCCTCTCCAGGGCCGTCCCTTGGCCGAGGCACCCGCACTGTCTTTTGGCTCTGGCCGGTCCTCCTAGAGCCGCGGATCCCGGGCCCGGGATGCTTCAGGGAGGTGGACGCCAGCGGCCTTCCGACCCAGTCTCGGCCCAGGCAGCGCCCGCGGTCGCCGCTCCTCCGCAGGATCGGGCCTGGCTGCTCCGGGAGGGGGCCGATCGGGGCCTCCGCCTCCCCGCGGCCGGGCCCCGCCTCCAGCCCGCAGCTCCCGGGCCGCCGTCGGAGCCCTTACCCGTAGGACGTGGTAGCCTTCCGTGCCTCCGCCTGGGATCTCGACGCTCTGCGAAGAGCCCATGGCGGCGGGCGATCGGTGTGGACTAGACGGACTTCGTGCTGCTCCCCGCCCCCAGCGTACCACCCGCTCCGCTCCTCCGCGTAGCACTTAGGACGTGGCACTCGCTGCCGCCCGAGAGCCGGGCCGCACTGCCCGCCGGGAGATCGTCGCCGAGGCAGCCGGGGCCTCTGAGACGCCGCAGACAGCGCCACCTGCCGCGAGCCACTGAGAGCCTACCGGCGGCGAGGAAGGGCGGGGAGAAGCCTATTTGTGCTCGCGAGAAAACAGTTCCTAGAGCCCGACAACTTGCTATAGGGCCCTGAGTTGGACAAAATTCATCTAGGCGCGTTGGCCTGGTTGCAGCTCCCCCTGGTGGCCAGTGACTGGCAAGGGCTACTGCAGGAAAGAGCAAATGCAAAATTCAAGGAGGTTCTTATACTCTGGGTGCACAAGACCTGTCTCAGATTGTGCATCTGAGAGTAATACGTAGGATTAATACTAAGGCCGCTCCCAAAGAGCTATTAAGTATTACCCACAGCTGTACACAGGTTTATAAAGGAAAACATTCCTATTGTAAATTAGCTGTCCCAAAGAGTTATGGAGTCATGGAGTACCCACTGTTTGTTTATATCTTTATGTTTATATATGTTTGTGTGTGTGTGTGTGTATCTCCCCCGCTCAACCGCCCTGTGGGAACAAGATCAGAGGTGCAAATGGTGGGAAAACAAGTTGAGGGGAATAAGCTTATAAAATGGGCACACCATTTTAATGTTGACCCCCCCAACACGCACACACACACACACACTTCCTTTTCCAAGAAGCAATTTACCTGCAGCCCTGGTGGGTTAAGTGGACAGGACATGTCACATTCCCCAGCAAACTACCTGTTATCACAGGAGAAATGCAGGGTCAAAAGTAATGTTCATAAAAGGAAAATTTACCCAGAAGGGGAAGACTTTTGTGACCCTTTTCATAAACCAGATCCTGAAACTCAGAGAGATAAGTATAATTCCTCCTAACCATTACATTTGTAAGAATTTATGGTTAAAAATTCAATTAGAATGAGGTCAAAGTGACCTAGAGGTGTCATGGCAGTGGGGACTTGAAAGTTTGGGGTCGTCTTGCTGTCAGTCAAAAGTTAAGAGGTGGACCTGGGTGGTACTCTCCAGAAACTTCTCTGGGATCTCCAATAAAACTGGAGTGCACTCAATAGATGAATGGATAAAAAAAAAGGTGGCATATTTACACACATTTTTGGACCATTTTTGGACCATATTTTCCCCCAGATGTCCTGCAGAACCCAAGCAGTTGGTCTTTGGTAGTCCATGATGAAGTATACCCTTTCTTAGAACTGTACTGTGTGTTTCAGCTGCTTTCACTAAAGCAGCTATTTCACTTGCTATTCCCAATAGGCCCTCTACTTTCGTATCCTCTTAACTTTATTCATGACAATTCCCATGTCTCAGGGGGTTGGGGATGTGGTTCAAGTGGTAGTGCACTCCCCTGGCATGGGTGCCACCCGGGTTCGATCCTCAGCACCACATACAAACAAAGATGTTGTGTCTGCCGAAAACTAAAATGTAAATAAAATATTAAAAGAATAATAATTCCCATGTCTCAGATGCTCTTTCCTACAGTTTCTACTTAGAAAAAGTCTGACTATCATCGAAGGCCCATCTTAAATGTGAGTTTCTTCTCATCCTGAGTATCTGGACCATTTAGTTCCTTCTTTCTGGTAACATCACTGTCATCATCACAGGCCTGTCTTCTACTATTCATTCAGTGTAAGAATCATGTATGTTCTTCTTTAGATCCCAAGTTTGTGGTTGGTAATATGGTAGTAATATTTATTGATTTGAATTGAATATGTGTAATCAATGGCTTTCAAGCTTTTTGTTTTTTTCCTTTTCCAACTCAGTTAACAAGTTACTTCTGTGGCACCTATTTGTGCCTCATCAAAATGTGTGTTATTTCTTCAATGGCAATGGGTAGAGAGTGTATTATGGGGCCTGCCTGATTTGGGAATGAAAAAAATTGTGATAACCGGTTCCTAGTACCAATTGTCTTCATTATGCTCAAACAGAGGGCAAACAAGAAAATCCCAAGGATATTGCTAAAGCTAGCATAAATAAATACAACATGATGGAGCGGGCACATGAGAGATTATTGTCCAAGTCAGTCTCAATTGGAGTAGGAATCTGCTATAGGCAAGTTGGCATTTTGAAGTATCATAGTCAGCAGGAAAATCAAAATCCAGAAAAAAGCGAGTATCTACAGGCCAAAAAACAAAACCAAAAACAAACAAAAAAATCAAACCAGAAGAATTTATTCTTCTGGAACAAGCATTTGTGTGTTTTTATAGGTTTCATTAATTCTGAGTTCTCATAAATAAGTAGTTGATGATGGAAGGGTCATTTTAATCATATTGGCTAGTTAAGCCTATCTTTTTTGCCTTTGCCTTTAGACTAACCTGGGAAAGTTGGGCTCCTGCTGAATTTGGATGGGGACCCAGTCACTGGATAGGTCAGACAAGGGGGGCCCCCTGTGGCATGGCCCTTTTCTAACCTAGTTTGTTTTGCGAAGGAGTCATGTTATGTGCCATGGAATCTCAACCACTGCTGACTGTACCATTACCTACACTGAATAGTAGTAACCCATGAAGAGGCCTTTTAGGAAAAGTTCTACTCCCTAAAGTAGATGATAGTGATAGCCAGACCAGTCCAATTTTCTCTGTGAGGTCTTGGAACTGTAAAGTACAGGAGAGACTCAGAGTGCATTTATTTGCATATTAGAACATAAAATCTTATCAGGGATGGTCTTTGTCTGCGTGTTTACTACTGTATAAGTCCTGCTGACTAAGGACTGTCCTAGAAAAGTTGCTTGATAAATGGTTGTTGAATGAATGAATAAATGATCGTGTTAGTAGTCATGATAATAGAAAGCACTAGAGCAATGGTTCTCTAGCTTGGGTATGAATCCATGGAACTTTATAAAAATACAGAAGTTCAAGTGCTAGCCTACTTCACTGAGCCTGGGTCCCAGTGTCTTCATTAGTTTCTGGGTGATTTTGATGACACACCTCTTGAGAATTCCCACACTAGAGCAATGCCTAATAAATCCATGCTGTTTTGTGGATAATCAGATAATCTAGGAGACTCTTGAGCTAGGAAGGATCCTCTCAGAAATCAAATGGCCACAAAACCCAAATTGTTCTTTTATTTCTTTGATGTACCTATCATCTCTATCGTCAAATTTTCTTTTTATTTATTTATTTTTAAGGAACATATCTTGGAACAATTTTCGATTTACAGAAAAGTTGCAGACAGTACAGAGAATTCCCATATGCTCTTCACGCAGTTTTTCCTGTTATTAACATCTTATATCAACCATGGTACATTTGTCAAAACCAGGAAACCAACATTTGCACATCATTAACTAAACTCTAAAATTTATTCAAACTTCACAAGTCTTTCCACTAATGTTCTTTTTCCATTCCAGGATTCAATCTGAGATCCTGCATCACGGTTATTTATCACGTCTCCTTTGTCTTCTCTGGTTTGTGACAGTGTCTCCATCTTTTTCTGTTTTTCATGACCTTGAAAGTTTCACAGAGCACTGTTCAGGTATTTTAAAGAATATACTTCACTTTAGGTGTATCTACTTGTTTTAGTCAGCTTTTTCCATGTGCTGAGAGACCCGACCAGCACAGTTGTAGAGGAGGAAAAGTTTATTTGTAGGCAATGGTTTCAGAGGTCTCAGTCCACATACAGCAGGCTCCATTCCTCAGTGCTCAAGGTGAAGCTGAACATCATGGTGGAAGAGTGTGGCAGAGGGAAGCAGCTCACATGATGATCAAAAAGAGAGGTCTCCAATTGCCAGATACAAATATATACCCCAATATATACCCCCAATGAACCACTTCCTCCGGTTACCAGTTAATTCGAATCTTCAGGGAATAATTCACTGATTAGGTGAAAGCTATAAACCAATCATTTCTCCTCTAAACCTTCTTGCATTGTCTCACACATAAGCTTTTGGGGTATACTTCACATCCAAACCATAACACTATTGTTTTTCTCATGATTAGACTGGGGTTATGGATTTCAGGGAAGAATGCCCAGGGAGGAGGCATTTGCATCATATCATATCAGGATTATGTGCTATTAAATATATGGTTTTACTGGGGTTCACTTCAATAACTTGTTTAAGATGCTATTTTCCTTGATAGTAAAGTTACTATATCCCTCTTTCCGTAAGTAAGCAAATTACTATGTCCAGACATCTTGTAGGGTAGGGGTAGGGGATACCTGTGGGCAAGGGGGACAGGTCTTAAGCTCCATTTTCTGGAGATGAATTATTACATAAATAACTTGGACTTCTTAAATAAGGATTTTTCCCCATTCTCTCCTACTTATTTACTTATTAAGTCATTTGTTCATATCAATTTGGCTTCATTTACATTTATTTTATGTATAAATATTTTTTGTTTAATTTTTTTTAGTTGTAGAAATACACAATAACTTTATTTTATTTATTTATTTTTATGTGGTGCTGAGGATTGAACCCATTGTCTCACATGTGCCAGGCTCCACCACTGAGCTGCAAAGCCAGCCCCATGTATATTTATTTTATACTTTTGGTTACACTGTGTTATTCATTACTGGTAGGAATGCAAAATGATGTCTTTTGCTGCTCAAATTGTACCTATGTCTCCTCATAAATCACTCCTTCTTCCTTTAACACTGGCAACCGTTAAACATTTTTCCTTCCTTATAGTTTTGCATCTTCCAGATGTCATATGAATAGAATTACACAATATATAGACTTTTGGGTCTGGTTTCTTTGACTTAGGAAAATGTACTTAAGATTCATGTATGCTAGGGCTGGGGATGTGGCTCAAGGGGTAGCGCGCTTGTCTGGCACGTGTGCGGCCCAGGTTCGATCCTCAGCACCATATACAAACAAAGATGTTGTGTCCGCCAATAACTAAAAAATAAATATTAGAATTCTCTCTCTCTCTTTAAAAAAAAGATTCATGTGTACTGTATGACTATATAGCATTTTTATTACTGAATAGTATTCCATTGTATGAATGTGTCATACTTTGTTTTTCTGTTTACCTGTTGAACAGATATTGATGGCTGTTTCCAGTTTTGGGCAATTG